ACATTTCATTTTCAGATACAAATGACAGTCATTAGCTGGGAATTACTTTTCGTTCGCAGTCGCAGAGCAGATCGTTGGCAACTTTAAAGTGATTGCTGCTATGGCAAAGGACATTTGAAGTATTTTCTATATGAAAGCAAATCAAATCACTTGCAATGCGCTTAATTTGCCGCACAATGCACGAACGGCAAGGGGGCAACGAAATGCCGGGGCCAACTGCACAAAGGTACAAAAAAATGGTAAAAATAAAAAGGCTAGGAAATCAAGATGGGAACTCGGGCGAAAACGAAAGCAAACTTGCCAAAAGAGAGAAATTGCTTTGGCATAACTAGGGGAAGAGCATAAAAATGACAGAGATTGTACACTTGTACACTTGTATTTGCAATTGAGCGCACAAAAGTTTTCATAAATTGCATCAATTTGAAGTTGAACAGAGGAGGATTTGCCCGTCTCCGTTAGCATGCCAAAGGTAAGGACTTGTCGATGTTGATTCCCTTTACTCCTCCCCGCTCACACACATCCTGTTGCGTCCCGACTTCCACAAAGCGGCATATTATTTTTTATGATTTGATTTCCCTTTTTATACCACGCAAATGAACTCTAAAACGCCGCTGATTGTGTATTGAGTTACTGAGACTGCCGTCACTGGCGGCGCATTAATGGAATGTGGAAGGAATCATGTTTACAACTTGATTGAACTCATCAGCATCGGACCATCCGTCACTGCACTTCCAGTCGCAACTCCACCTCCATCTCCATCCGCCGCCTGAAGACGCTCCCAGATAGAAGATATCCTGCCGACTCCTCCGCGTCCTTTGCACGTGTGCCCGGAGTTTAACTTTAATTGATTGCATTAGCATTCAATTACTTTCTGTTCGCTGCCTCTCTCCATCGCTGTATCCTTCTTTTATGCGCCATTAATAATCTGATTAATGCGGCACAAATGCTAGTTTGGCCCGAGATGATTGTCTCGAGGCCCTTGGCCGCTAAGTCATCATTTTTACATATAATTTCCAATTATCATAATAAGCTTTCAGGGCAAAAGGAGCTGGCTAAGTCCTAATGGAACCTCAAGATGCAATTGTATAAGAAAGGAATGTAAGTGGGTCGCAGCTGATCAATTGGCCATATATCATTGTTTTTAAATCAATATAATAAATGTTCTTGATTATTTTACGTTTCAGTAGGTTAGGGCCACAAAAGTAATAATAGTGGTATTTATTTTTCCGAATAATGTATTTAAGCTACAAAGTCAATCCCCTTAAGCTCAATTAGTATTTCACTTTGCTCAATAACATTTCTTCGCCCTCGCTAACTGATTCAATTTAGACGTCTGGATACGTTTCCCGCCTACCTTGCCCAAAGGCCAACAAATCAATTTGTGAATTTTGCTACTTGGCCTTGGGCATTGGGTTAATTTGATTGATTGCCCTGGGGTTAAGCGTATTCGGATTTTGTGTCGCCACCCGTTTTTGCAATCATCATAGCGGTTTTATGGCACTTTCTGTGCCTATGCGTTCGGGAATTATCATTTGCCTAATAAATTAAAACGTTTTATTTACGATTTGTGTCTGCTCCGCAGCTGCTTAAATATAAATAACGCTCATTATGCGCAGCTCAAGTTAATATGTATGCCTCCGACACATGTGACAGTGGTGGTTGAACGTGGACGGGGCACGTATCCACTTCCACCCACCGGAAAACTGTGCGGTGCGTTCGGCTCAGCGGTAAAGTGGTGGTGGTGCTGTGGCCCAAAGAAAAATGTACTCCTAAATCTATGAAAAGTCAACGGGCGACGTGGTTGCGCCCGGTGGCACGTGGTTGCCCCTTGGCACGTGGTCTTCCCGGCGACATCCGAAAGCATTCCCGAAATGTACTCCGCCTAGCACTTAGACTGTAAGTGGAGTTGAAAAAATATGCACGGTCATTTACATATATGACAAATCGTGTGGGTTCTTAAAATTATTTTTAGAATATTTTCGTTTTCTTTAAATTGGTTTACAAGTTCCAAAGGTTTTAAATGTATAATTATAAAAATAGAGATTAAATTCTGGCCTAAGAAAAGATATCACAAGTATTTGTATACTATTAATTTACTAAATTTTGCAGTAATTTATTGATAAGAATAAAAAATGGTGGGGGATGATTATGGGCTTATTACTTATAAACGGTTTTGGATTTGATGTTAACAAATGATATGATGTTGAGTGCATTGTTTAATTGGTTTCCAGTTCCTCAGGCTATAGAAATTAAGGAATATGCCTTTTCACTGCTGTCTGTTAAACAGCCAATTAATAACAGATTAAGCCGGAATACTGCGGGCAGCCTGTCAATTCACCGCTTTCGCTCAGATCAAGTGTCCTGGCCGCGCAAATTGCATATCCTTTTCAGCGGCTTTGAGCTCTCGTAGTCCGCTTAGATTGCCGCTGCTAATTAGGCGATTTGCTTGACTTGCACTCAATTAAGGGTCCGACCTGCAATTAGCCGAGCGGATTTTAAATTGGCTCTCCGCCCTGCCGCAATCGGGTTCAATTCATTTGCTCATTTGTCATTGCGGGCCAGGTGTAAATGCTTTAAAATTCAGTCTAAATCTCATAAAAGTTTAACAGCGCTGAAGCGAAAGGTAAACAGACTCGGGGAAAATTGCTGGCAATTACATTATTATTTGCATTCGGGGAGTTTTCTTCGGTCGGGGAAAACTTGGAGGGTCCTAAGTGGTTATGGCCAGGAAGTTGGGGGGAAACTGGAGGGCGCCGTTTCCTTATTGCGAAAAATCTTCGAGCGGGTCCAAGGATATTATGCCCATTGCCGGCTTCCCTCTCTGGAGTGTGTTTTTGTGTATCGGCCGGGGATCGAAGGGGCCGCAGTTCGCAGTTCGGAGTGGGTATTCATCATTTTTCGACCGTAGTTTCCGTTTCCGCATTCGCAGGCGATGGGAAGGTGTGAATGTGTGGGGAAAGGATCTCCTTGGGGCGGCCGGACTTAAACTTTTCATAAACCTTAAGTGGAAAACTTTTATTTTATACCCATCACAGGCCGCTTGGTCCCCGAACACTTTTGTTGCCGCCGCGGCTGCTGTTTATGCCACCTATTTGATTCAGTCAGAGCGTCCCGGTCGGAAATTGAACAATATGTAGGCCCGGCGAGTGGGCGCCGATGCTGGGGCTAAAGTCACGTAAGGCAAAAGTTTCTCGAAATCATTTTAACGCCTTTTGAATTTTTTCTGAAAAGTTTTTTTTTTTTTTTTTTTGCGTTTCCGTTGCTGCGTTAGCGACAATCGCCTGAAAGTAGGCAATAAAAATTGTCAAACAATAAATATTTGCGGTAGGTCAGCGGGTCGCTGAAAAAGGGGGTGGTAAAGTTGGTAAAGTGGGTGATGTGGGTGAAGTGGATCAAGTGGTGGGGTGTCGCATTATCCCCGCCAACCCCTGGGGAAACAATTTTTTAGTCAAATGGAATATATTTGTTTTATTGTTTTTATTATCACACGAGTGTTAAAGTTTTTCATGGTACTTTTTTCTGTTTCCATATTATTCCGTGTTGCACTAATACCATCATCGGCATTTGAATCCTTTATTTTATCCAAATACATGCTTTTCGTTTTTTCTTTAATATTAATTTCTATGTACATAAATTTAGTTGTTCGCGTTGATGTTGCTGGCAACATTTTCGACAGGCTTCGCCGCATTTAAATGTCAAATTGTGGGCGTGGCTGGGGAAAGCACACAAAATGAATTTGGCCAGGGTGATACCATTGATGCGCTTTAAACACAGCTAATTTAGTTTTCAATATAAATGGTTTTTTCTTATTACCTTACATTAGGATTTTTTTTAATTTGTCTGCGTAAGATTTATTTTACTTATTTATATTAAGCTTTGTGAAGGGCACTTCCACATTCGTTTAGCCTAAGCCTTTTATTTGTTTCATTATTCCCGTTGGGTTTTTTAAATGTTTAATTTATTTATGTATGTTGCTTTTTAAATTTATTTTGTTGCTGTCGCTGATAGTGGTGCTGTTGGTGGGCGGTGGGGTGTCGGTGCTGGGTGGTTGAGTCGGCTGCTGGCGAATCGTCCTTGCCGCGCGGTGGACATGTGCATATTTCATGACAAAATTGCATATTTTAGCGCAAAGCCAAAGCCAAAAGCCAGCGACGGATCCATGGCCGCCGGCACAGCTTCGGGTTTTTTTTTTCTGCTGACGCCCCCTCTCCCCCCTCCTCTCGCCACAGAAGCCCCTTTGTTGCCACGCCCCCTGATGGTGTAAATTTCAAGCCAAGTGTAACACCTTTTTGCTGTCATGATGTTTTTAGGGGGTTTGATAGCGTTTGTGTCTGTTTTTTTTCACAATATTCCTTTTGTTTTTCGCCATTTGTTTTTTCGCTCAAATTTACATACATCATAGTCATTGCAGTTCAGGGCATTTTGATGGGAACAGTTAACTTTTTTAAGCCGCAAATTGAAAGAAAATAAAATGTTAAAAAAACATCGCCAGTTTGTGTTCCTCTGATTTTGTTGCCAGTGACGGCGACTTTCAATTTTGCCAGCGACCAACAGAAGGCGGCATCCCTTCATTTACCATTTTTTGTTCCGCCCCACTTTCGCCCTTTTATTTTCAGTGTTTGTTTTGTGAGATTGATTTGATTTGGGCACCACACGAACATTGGGCATCGGCAATAAATGTATTTGCCATCTCTTCATGTTGGTTTTAGTATGAACATTTTTACGAAGCCAAAAAACATTGCACTACCATAGCCATTGCTCGAGAGAAATGTTATAATAAAGTTAAGGTTGAAGTTAAAATATAAATCTTACATTATGTGGACCCAATATGTACTATACCGTCATTAAAAATTGGCAAAGGAATGATATCACGCATAACTTAGCATAAATTAATAATCAAGCTGACACTCTTATAATTTTTTTAATTTTAACAAAGATAGAAATATGTTCAAGTAAAAAATTTAAGTTTTATATGAATTTTTACAGATATAATTGTTAAATTAATTAGAATATCGCTCAATTAATCGCTGCAGCATCGTCCTGGCCTTGAATACGTCCGCATAGAGTTCTCCGTTGACGGCTCCATCGGAGCAGTGCTGTCCGTAAATGTCGACGCCGCACACCCGATTCTTATGGATTAGCAGATCCCCCTTGGTCGTCTGGCAGTCCATCAGTCGGTTCGAGTTCTGGGCACACAACATGGTCTTCGTGATGAAGGCGTTCTCGTCCTGGGCATAACTGCGCTTACAGTTCCCATTGGCGATGAGTTTGGTGCGCAGAAAGCGGAGATGCTGCTGCGACATGTACATGGTGACATTGTCATTTCGCCGAAGAGCAGTGTCACAGAGTTCAATTGGCTGCACGAACGCATCCTGCAGCGGAGATTTGAGCAGAAGGAGGGCCATGTCCTCCATGGTGCCAATAATAATACTAGCCACCGAATATATCCGACTCCGGCTGGCCTGCAATTTGTATAAATGTGCTGGAGGATTACGCGAAGTCCTGGGAAAACAGTAGGCAGAGGTCAAAACCAGTCGACTGGAGATTAGAGCCCCACTGCAGATGACTTTGTTTTCATAAAGCACTCTCATCAGAAAGTGCTGGACTCCTTTTGGCTTGCCAGTTGTCTGACTCCTCCTAAGTAGACTTTCGACATCAGCTGGAATTATCTCCAGGCTGTTTGGATCCCTGGAGATTGCATCTGGACTTCTGGCAGATGTTTTGGATGGTCTCTGATAGGGATACGGCACTATATACTCGATGACCCGAACTATTTGAAAGGGCTGACCATTCGGCGGTATTTCACCCACATTGACCTGTGGCACCGAATGCCAGGAGTCTAAATGTGTACAGATCCCATGGGATATTACTAGTACGATTGTCAGGCACTTTAGCTGCATAATAGCTGCGAGACTGAGCTAGTATAAAAAACCCATCAGTCTCTGATTGATTTAGCTTCGCTTTGAATTTCCCGGCTTCAACCGTTGAGTTTCCGAATCAAATCGCTGATCATGGGCTGTAGTTTATTTAGGTTAATGTAGAGATCGCCATTGAGTGCATTCGAAAAACAGCGAAATCCATAAACATTTAAGCCACACAATTGATTTCCTATCAGCAGCGCATCTCCCGGCGAAGTGGCACATTTCTCCGGTTTCATGGAGTTCTTCGCACACAACATGTCGGGAGTTATAAAAACCGAATCGTCCTCCAAAAAAGTTGTCTTGCAGGCCCGATTTGAGATGACTTGAGTGTGCCGACGACCGTAAAATCTCAGATCAGGACTGGCCATCATCATGGAGGCATTAATACCCAACGGCAGGTCCTGATGGCATAGGGTAATCGGATGAATTGCAGAAGGGGACTTTAAATGGAGTAGGCTAAGTTCAGGACAGAACTCGGGTCTTACTAAGTTATCCACAGCGAAAGTTTTTCCGCCAGTGAAGAGGATTTCCAATTGTTGCGGCGTTTTATTCCTTAGGCAAAAACTAGAGCTGACCACCAAACTTGGTGCCACCAAGGCTGCACTGCATCGTATGGAACTTCCCACCTTTACCTTGGTTATAAAGCTAAACTCCTGGGACTGTTTCCTGATTCCTCTGTTTTTGACCAGCCGGTACTCATTGATGATGCGCACTATTCGCTGATTTCTGGACAACTGCTGGCTGGTTTTCCCCATTCCCGGATACATCACATTCACCCGACATTCCTGGCAAAGGGGACTCCCCGCCTCGCAAAGCTGGCAAAAGCAAAGCGCTGAAACACAAACAAGCAGGGAATGCATCTCCAAACGACTGATGGCCAGCAGCTGAGTTTTATTTATGGGCGAATGGAATTCGAGGCGCCTGTCAAAGCAACAAACGTCGCTTCGATCCACATGGCGTATGCGTAATCAAAATGTTTTGCCTGGTAAATGGCAAACATAAACAGTTGACGGCTGTCAGTTGGCAGTTGTTGCGTGTTGACAATGTGTCAGGTCTAATGACCAAACATGCGCCAGGCAAACAAACATTTCAAGTGCAATCCAATAGATTGGGAGTTGAAAAAATTCAGTAGTTGAACTGACGGCTAAAAAACTTAGTTCTAAAAAATTAAAGAGATTAAAAAATTGTGCCATTCTTAAAGTAAATAACCATTCGGCAAAATAACTAAGATCAATGTGTTCTAAAATTACCAAAATACCTACTTTAAATACGTTCAATTTAAAGTTAACAGAGATTTGGCTAAAAATACAACTGTTTCAATAAATAGACGTTGAATGAATTTTCAAACATTAAAGAACATTTTGCAAGCTTAAAATGAATATGCTGATGACCTCTCCATTTGTACCCTCTTGATTTATACCCGCAGATTGAAGAACTGCCACGATGTCAGAAAACAATCAAACTATAAACCAAAGAAATCGAATCTATGGTTTTGCGCGATGTGGGCGTCTTTCGTGCAATTTGAAAATTGTTTTTGTGCATTTCAGCAAATTAAGAAGAATGGCGGCAGCTTCGACTGGACCTCTGCTCATTTACTGAATTTATGGCCGGCGCTTAAACTGAATTGACAATCAATAGTCTGTGGAAGGACGAGGGAATCAGGATGGCTGGCCCAGGAGCAAGGAGCACGGAGCAGGGCTCATAAACAATGCGGCCAATTTACATGCCCAGGGATCGACCGCATGTGTGTGTCTATTCCAGTGTGTGCCGCCATGAAAAGGACCTTGTGTTGCTTTTATTGTTGTCGTTGGAAATGAAAAATTGTCCCTTTGTTGCATATAAAAACAATGGGCCGAAGAACTTGAAATCAATTTCAAACGTTTTAGGCAAAGCCAATTGATTTATTTGTTGTGCGTTTTGCCTCCCTTTCACTGGATTGTGTGTGATTGTGTGTTGGGTGTTAGAGGCCATTGTTTTGTATTACTTTTGCCTTTTGCCTAAAGCCCTGGATGCTTTGCTCTGCCAGGTCCTTGAAATGTCGCACCATTTCTAGCAACTTAAAGCTCAAAACAATTAACACTGAGTGCCGAAAGTCAAGGGCTTCGTGCGCTGTTTTTCCCTTTTACACTTGATAAACTTTTTATTGCTTCCGAACAATTTAAAATCGGGAGCGAGTGGTAGCTTGCTGAATTACAATAATGCTCCAGTTGGGTTCGGTCTGTTGATGGCTCCGGCCAATTGGCAAGACAAACGGCTGCAGCTGCTCGCGATGTACTGGAGTGGGGCACTGACAGCCTTCGAATTCGAATTGGTAATTGAACATAAACAACCAGTACGAGCACTGTGCTGGCCAAACGAGTCTCTCAAGAAGCTGGTGTCTTATGTGGATTCCAGGCCCTGAGAGTTTAAGATGCAGAGGAAAAAAATAGTTTTTAATAAGAGTGAAAGTGAATTCGATTCATACATTTTGTTTCAAAAATTTGCTACTTTAACATAATGAAATCGGGCTTTGAAAAGTTATAAATTTAAGCTGGATTTATGTTTATTACACAGTTTCTTCTTTGTATAGTAACACTAATATAGCAATATATTACTTTTAGATCTAACAATTTCAATATTAATTGAAGCTATAGAATTCATTTAACCTATTTGTATTCCTTCCAATGCCACTAAAATTAGTTTAAAATATAGAGTCTTCCTTTTAAAGAAGTTCGAATTAAGAAAGTAAGACTGTAAAATTGTATGTATTTTTAAAAGATAAAAGAAATACATTTAGACTTTCAAATAACATCAGTGTACCTCATATATTTCTTATAATTTATTTCTCCAAGTGTCTGATTGTCCGCTTCCTGACACATATCGCAATGCAATGGAGTATGAAATAAATGAAGAGGCTGCCGGTTGGATGCGACTGGAGAAGTAGTCCTTGCGGCGGTTTCCCCCAACCAAAACAAGTGCCACGGCAAGCCAGCACCCACAATGCCACTGATGGTCTTTGGACATTTTACGCCTTTTACACAGTTGACTGCATAAATTCATGGCCGGGATATGGTTACGCATTTTAAACAACGCTCGTCGGTTAAATCCGGACTGGAGACGAGTGGATGGACCTTTGTTTCATCGAAATGAAAAGGAACTTGGCAAACATCGGCATATCTTGGCAGACAAACAGCTTGAGCTGCCAGCGAGGGGCTACAAATAGCTGCAGCTTAAAGCTGATTTAACAAAGTTGCCCCACTTGTTGCCCTGCTGGCGAACGAAGACCAAGACCAAGTTTTCTTTTGGCCCCCGAGCAGTGCTCATTATTGCGAAATGTTCGGGGTAAGCTTTAGTTTCAAGTTTGATTTGTTTACACATGAGTTTTTGGCGAGACCGACGGGAGATTGTTTTGCTGCCAGCTAACAAGTTGCAAATTAAGCTAAAATGTGTATTTTGGCAAAAGTGCAGTGGGTGGGTGTTTGGGTGCTTGGTGCTTGATGCTTAGTGCTTGGCAGGGACTTTGGTATACAAATACATGCATGTAAACGAGCATAAAAACCGCACAGTCAAACGCACTAACAAGCAGCAGTAATCAGTGTGGCAGCAACAAAAGTGAAGAGCCAACAACACTCACCAACTGGAGGGAGTAGTATGCAGCATGTGCAGCAGGAGGAAATTACACGCTCGGAAGTTGAAACAATGGCTGCAAGTCTGGGGCAGGCTCACTGCTGCTCATCACCGAGCTAGGAATCGCCATCGCCATCATCCCCATCATTATCATCATCATCAGGAGCAGGAGCAGGAGCAAAAGCAGGAGCATCAAATGCTGCGGGCTGAGGACACCTCCCCCAAAAGGCTATTGACCCAATTTCTGGACAAACAATGGACCAGCAGAAAAGAAATCACAAAAGCGGAGCCAAATCTCGGGACCAAGCCAAAAACCACTTGACAATCCCAGCTAGATCTGCTGGTCCTGCTGCACAGAGAAAAAATGCAAGATTAATCTTACTTTAATCCTGTAATCCAAAAGTTGATGGTCATTTAAGCTTCAGCTTAGCAAAGTAACAGTATTTCAGTTTTTAACTGAAGTATTTCTATTCCTGCTGTGGACGAATTTCGGTTCTGGGTGTCTTTGAAATATCTCAGTAGCTTGTGTGATTAAAACTTAAAAAAAAATCTAAATTAAAAGCTGGATTACATTTTTGATATTCATTTCTTTTTGGTTCATATTTCAGCAAAAAATTTGTAAATTAAGAACAATACAAGATTGTAACCCTGACTTGAGGGGGTTTATCTCTAAAGTGTTGCTTGTCATTCATTTCAATTTATTATTTAGACGGTTTATTTTTGAAGACATTTGTATTAGAGACTGGCATAAATTATTACAATATTCGTAGCTAATTGTAGTGCAGTAGACCCCAATTAATAATAGTTTTACACTACTAATTGTTATGGTTTAGAGACCCCATTTTCTCTAACAGTGCATCCTAGCAGAGGCAGAGTGCCAAATGTTTTGGCTATGAGCAATGTGTTTACCAGTGTCCACAGCTTCCCCCTGGCACCCGCTGATTTCCGCTTTCCCGCTTTTCCGATTTCCCCCTTCGAGGCGACGGCGACAAAACAAGTGAAAGTTTACTACATCTCCGTCAGCCAGCCAACCAACCAGTCATCCAGCCAGCCAGCCAGCGACCAGCAAAATCAATAAAATGCAATTGCATGGCAAATGACCCATATAACCCCGAGCCCAAAACCCCATCCGAACCGAACCCGAACCAAGGGAGCGGATCAGGGCAGTTCATGGCCTCGGCCTGCGGCAAGGAGCTGCCGCCGAAGGACGAAGGACGAGGAGTGGAGGGCCGGCCTGCGGCTGAGCGTAATTGTGCCAAATTATAAATTATTTCGAATTTGCCAGGGCGCAAACGATGCTCCAAGGCGCTGCCGTTGCCTGCAATTAATTTTGTGCAGCGCCTATTGAATGGCGAACGGAGAGTAATCGGCGGCGAGGAAGTGGCTCTTCGAGGGCAAAGGCTAAGCGCATAATTTAAATTTCTAATTAACAGTCAAATAAATTGTGCCGGCTGCCAGCGTCGTGGCAATTGAGCCATGCCAAGTGATTTTATGGCTAAAATGCTCGTTAAGTTAACGCCAATTTGCAGCCGCAGACAAATCCAGGTGAGGTTAAAACTGGAGCAAGCTTAACTGTATTCTAGCTGCACTAGGAATGCTGCTTCTTAAAGGGTTTATTGCAAATTGATTCGAGGGTTTGGTAGGCAATGAATAGCTCAAATATCTCTGATAATACTGCTTTGGAGCACAATGCACCTTTGATTGTTTGATTCGATTAGTAAAATGTTTTTTCATATATGGCAAGGGTTTAATGAATAGTCTGTATTGACTCAACAAACTTTGAAATATATTTTTATACCAGTCTTCCAAATACTATATTTAATTTTTGAAGAAATACGTATTCATTTTGAATAAACTAGTTCAAACTACCTATTTATTTGAGTGCAAACAATCCTCTTGTAAGACGATACAAAACTAGATTACACAAATTAGTTTATAATCTTTGGCACACATGCAACTCTGCTAATGTGTGATGTTTGATTGCTGATGAAATGCGCCTATTGACACAACAAGCTCAATGAACCTTTAATTTATTTTTTCAGCATTGCTTACGGTTGAAATTGAAATCTGATTCCCTTAGGATATGTCCTGTTTTCCCTTGTAAGGGGTTAATGAATGGCAACTATTAGGCAAATTGGCTTTGATCCCTTGATTCAATGGGCCTTTGATTAGTTGGCCTTGCAACACTGCGTATGCGCGATATTTGCCAAATCAAATTGTCAAAGGAGCGTGCATCACTCAACCAGAAGCTCGT